GGCCCTCCCCGCCACGCCCCGCCCCCGCCGCCAGGACATAGGCGGGATGCAAAGGAGGGGGGGCGGGGATTCAAAGGAGGAGGAGGAGGAGGGGCGGGGCTTCGCAGGGACTCCCGTCGTGTGCCCTTTGGACCAGGAAGAGGCGCCCAGGTGAGGAGCCCCGCGGAAGGCCCCATCGAGGGCACTCTGGCACGCCTTCCTTCATAGAATCCTACAGCTGGAAGAGACCTCCTGGGCCATCCAGTCCAACCCCATTCTGCCAAGAAGCAGGAAAATTGCATTCAAAGCACCCCCGACAGATGGCCATCCAGCCTCTGTTTCAAAGCCTCCACCACACTCCGGAGCAGAGAGTTCCACTGCTGAACGGCTCTCACAGTCAGGAAGTTCTTCCCAATGTTCAGATGGAATCTCCTTTTTTGTAGTTTGAAGGCCATTCTTCTACTGCGTCCTAGACTTCCAGGGCAGCAGAAAACAAGCTTGCTCCCTCCTCCCTATGACTTCCTCACACGCATGGCTATCATGTCTCAGCCTTCTCTTCTGTGACTTCCTCTCACATATTTATACATGGCTATCATGTATGTCCTCTCAGCCTTCTCTTCTGAAGGCTAAACATGCCCAGCTATTTGAGGCGCTCTTCATAGGGCTTGTTCTCCAGACCCTTGATCGTTTTAGTCGCCCTCCTCTGGACACATTCCAGCTTGTCAATATCTCTCTTCAATTGTGGTGCTCCCTCCCTCCCTCCCTCCCTCCCTTCATTAATTCATTCATTGTCATGTCAGGAGCAAATCGCTTCTGGTGTAAGAGAATTGGCCGTCTGCAAGGACGTTGCCCAGGGGACGCCTGGATGTTTTGATGTTTTCACATCCCTGTGGGAGGTTTCTCTCATGTCCCTTCATGAGCTCGTCTTCAGTCCCGCCCGCACAGGGGTTTAACCAACTGCACCACCAAGGGCTCCTGTTTCTTTATTGCTTTGCACAGACTTCTCCCTCATCTTTAGTATTGATTGAGCGTTTTCCTATTGAATTCTATTTCATAGGATCTCATCTATTCTTTTAGTTATATTACACTAGCTTGGGGACTAGGCGGTGCCCAGATTATTTGAGAAAGTGGGTCATGGGGGTTCTGTATACCAAGTTTGGTCTTTATCGGTCATTGGATGAGGGTCGCAGTGGTCTCAGGAAGTGCGTGAAGGTACTGCAAGTCCCATCATCCATGGTCTGTCCTCCTTCATACTGCACAAGGATGTAGAGTGGGTCACGAGTGCTCTGTGTACCATGTTTGGTCCTGGTTTGTGATTTGTAGTGGCCACAGTGTTCTGTCGGAAGTGAATTGGGTGAAGGTACTGCAAATCCCATCATCTGTGGTCTATCCTGCTCTAAACCACACCAGGTTGTAAAGTGGGCCATTGGGCCTCTTTGTGCCAAGTTTGGTCCTGATCTGTCATTGGCGTGGATCACAGTGCTCTAAGGAAGTGAGTTAAAGTACTGCAAGTCCATGGTCTGCCCTCCCTCAAACTGCACCAGGATGTAGAGTGGGTCATGGGGGCTCTGTGTGCCAAGTTTGGTCTTGTTCTGTCATTGCTGGGGGGCGCAGTGGTTTGTGGGATCCAAAGTGTTTGAAAGTACTACAAATCCCATCATCCATTGCCCGTCCTCCCCAAAACCTCACCAGGACATCAAGGGGGTAATGGGGGTTATGTGTGCCAAGTTTGGTCCAGGTCTGTCATTCGTGGGGGTTGTAGCGGCCTGCAGAAGTGGCAGCCAATCAGAAAGCTACCACATACCCACAAGCATACATACAAACACTGACTTTGATTATTTAATATAGATAGATATAGATTTGTTCTGATGTGGATATACCTCTATTGGGGAAGCAGCAAGCCCCTTTGAGCTGTGTTTTGCATCTAATGGTTTCTCATTTTAAAATAAATAAATAAAATTTTGTGTCCTGTTTTGTGTTTCATATTGATGGGAATTTGTTATTGTTTACTCCATTCTATGTATTTTACTGTGTTATTTATGTTGTGAGCCGCCCCAAGTCTTGTGGGAAGATGGAGCAGGATATAAATAAAGATAATAATAATAATAACAATAATAATTATAATAATAATAATTATTATTATTCCATGCATTATATTATATACTAGCCATCCCATGCCACACATTGCTGTGGCCCAGTCTGTGTTCATATGTTTTGTGTGCGTGTATATGTGTATATGTATATATGTGTGTATATATGTGGTTTTGCGCATGCGTTGTAATGTATTTTTTTTATTTTTCGGCTTTTTAAGTCTCTTCTGCTATGTTTTTCAGTGTTTTTATAAGTGATGCTCACTTGTTGGCCTGATAGGTGTTTTGTGTCCAAATTTAGTGTCAATTCATCCAGTGGTTTTTGAGTTATGTTAATCCCACAAACGAACATTACATTATATATATATATATTAGAATTCTATTTATTATATACTATATACTATATTATATTATACTAGCCATCCCCTACCACTCGCTGCTGTGGCCCATTCTGTGTATAAGTGTGTGTATACATATCTGTGTTTATGTGTATACATATTGTTTACGCATATATATGTGGTTTTGCGCATGCATTGTAATGTATTTTTCAATTTTTGAATTTTTAAGTCACTTCCGCTGTGTTTTTCAGTGTTTTTATGAGTGATGGTCACTCGTTGGCCTGATAGGTGTATTGTGTCCAAATTTGGTGTCAATTTGTCTAGTGGTTTTTTGAGTTATGTTAATCCCATAAATGAATATTACATTTTATTTATATAGATTATATAATTGCTTTCTATAATTCTATTTATTTATATTTATATTATATATAATATATATTATATATTGAGCCCCCGGTGGTGCAGTGGGTTAAAGCGCTGAGCTGCTGAACTTATTAACAGACAGGTCGCAGGTTCGAATCCGGGGAGTGGCGTGAGCTTCCCCTGTCAGCCTCAGCTTCTGCCAACCTAGCAGTTGGAAAACATGCAAATGTGAGTAGATCAATAGGTACCGCTCTGGCAGGAAGGTAACGGCTTCATGCAGTCATGCTGGCCACATGACCGTGGAGGTGTCTACGGACAACGCCTGCTCTTCGGCTTAGAAATGCAGATGAGCACCAGAGTCCCAGATATACATATATACATATAATAGGCCCCCTGGTGGCGCAGAGGGTTAAACTGCTGACCTGCTGAATTTGTTGACTGAAAGGTTCAAATCTAGGGAGTGGGGTGAGCTCCCACTGTTAGCCTCAGCTTTTGCCAACCTAGGAGTTTGAAAACTTCCTGGATTTGAACTGCCCACCTTTCAGTCACCCACTGTGCCACCAGGGGCAGATAGATTGTATACTTRTTATTATTACCTCCACATCAGCATTTAAAGTGCACTATGCTTCACAAGAGGATTCCCCGGTGGTGCAGTGGGTTAAACCACTGAGTTGCTAAGCTTGTTGACTGAAAGGTCGCAGGTTTGAATCCAGGGAGCRACGTGAGCTTCTGCTGTCAGCCCCAGCTTCTGCCAACCTAGCAGTTCAAAAACGGCGGGGAGGTAATGGCGCTCCATGCAGTCATGCTGGCCACATGACCTTGGAGGTGTCTATGGACAACGGCGGCTCTTCAGCTTAGAAATGGAGATGACCACCACACCCCAGAGTTGGACACATGACTGGACTTMATGTCAGGGGAAAACCTTTACCTTTACCTATGCTTCACAAAAGACCATTTGACCTATACAATCTGTGGTCTTGTTCTCTTATTGGCCGAAATGGTGATGCGCTAGAGGCAGAAACGACATGGAAAAAAAGCGGACAAGTCCTTTCCCACCTGTTTCAGCCAACCTTTAATTCTAAACTAGCCTCTTAAGCTTTGGAGAAGTAAACAAAAAGAGTTGGAACTTTCTAGAGACAGCTTGAAGGCTTCTTCCCCCAAAATATCCACTTTATTATTTTCTGTTGTTGACACATAGATCTGTAGTTTGATCCGCTGGAATAATATCCCCACAAGCTCAAGCTTGATTGTGTTGTTTCCTGACAACCTCTGATGCCCAGAGTCCGTATGCCTTCCTTCGTCACATCCCTCCTGATGCTGATGCTGCTAAAAGACTTCCAGCTGGATGGAGGGTGAGGAAGGAAGGAAGCCTTTCGGTTGGGGGTTGACCTTTTTTTTTTGAACGAGGACTAGAGCCTCACCAAACTACAAATCTTAGAGTCCCATAGCATTGAGTAATGGCTGTTCAAGCTGCATTCATTCCACAGTAGATGCAGCCAAGACTGGCCTGAAGAAATGTCCAAAACAGACTTCTGGTGGGGAAGATGGCGGCAGGACAGCCTCAATGAGGAGCTCCTCAAAGGGGCAACCACGTAGAGGGGTCTGGTAGAGCGATAGCTCCCCACATCCTGACGGATTGAGATCAGGAAGTGCAAAACCCAAATTGCCAGTTCCAAAGGTCCCAAAGATCACCCCCCACCTCAAGGGAGAGAGATTGAGTGGATCTGGACTGTGCAAGGGTAAGTGGACCTCTTTGTGGGAAGCAAACCCGAAAGGTTAGCAATAACTGCTGGCCTACCCATTTTTTAAATCATAAGAAGAAAAGAAATGGAAGAAATCTACGATCGCAGAGATCAAGGAGATGTAAGTTTCCAAAAAAATTAATTCTGTGTCGGAACCAAGAATTGACTATCCCTTCCCCTATTTGGGTAATGGGATTAAAACTCAAAGAATTGGAAAATCCAAATAGAAAGCTTAACAGATGACCGGATAATTCATCGAATAAATTTTAAAAAAATTAAGGAATTTTCCGGAGGAATAAATTGATTATAAGAGCTAAAGGAATTTATTAATTATACTTATGAATTCAAGAATTGATACCCTTAAGGAAAAAAAAGACAATAAAAATAAAAAACCACTCATGGTGGATCCTATGTTTTGAAACAAATTCTACAGAGACAACAAATACAACCGATCCCCTCCAACATAAGAGTGTTAAAGCCATAACAAA